CGTCGAAACTGTTGTAGATTGCGCAGAAATCATTACCCCGTTTTGACCGCCAAGTTTCCCTACCCTGAGGAACTCTCAGACAGTATTTTTATACGGCAAATCCAAAGTATAACATGCTTTATTATGACTACTAAACACTTGCAAAAACATTGGCACATTGGCTGCATATTCGAGTACGGGAGACCGGCGAACAACAGCGGTCATCGTTGCGCAAACGATTCCAACGGCTGAAAAGGCGGGAAACAATCGTTGATTCATCCAATCACTCGTTGCCAACACTACCGAAGCCCCTGGGGGTAAACGAAATCCAAAGAAAATATTACAATCTAACCACAGCTGACGAGCACACCACGAACAAACCACAGACTCTATGGCACAGAGCGACCGAACCCGACCCAACGGACGTACAACACACCAAGTCACCAACTTGCTTGTTTTATAATTAGTTGTGAATTACTTTGAGTTACAGAGGCTCGCTTTCAAATTCGTGTGGTGAGTTAGATTCTGGTTAGATTCATTTATACAAACTACAGTGTAAGAAATGTCTTAAGAATAGAGATATCTCGTGTCTCACGAGAGAGAACTCTAGAATCACGTCACAGCGTTTGGCGGCGACCAGATAACCTCAGCGCCTAAGCGATTCCTAGAGAATTACTAAGTTTTTGGCTATATTATGCGATTATCGAGTGCATGTATCTCAAATTGGATATTTACAATATTTCCTTTCTTTTGGTTTAATTAGGATCTGGCAGCGAATTTCGTTACTTTATCAACATACGTCAAGTCGATACCTTTTTTTTTTGAAAATGGTTCGAAGAAAATATTATCATGGTCGTAGCGATTATGCTACAGTGCTGCTTTACAATAAAATGAAATGTATGAATCAATTGGTCCATCGTGTCCTTTCATCGGTTATGAAATATGCCAACGATTTTCGAGCCCCTTTGCTATTAGCGTCGAAGCGATTGCTCCCGTATATTTGTATAAACTGTCAGCTTTTTAAATATTTATTTTAGACATTTGTATTAATTATTATCAAGATAAATATTACCTACATTAAACTTTAATAATCGTTTGGAAAAAATTCAGGATGTTCATAAACAGAGTCCCAATAATGTTCGTAGTATTTCACGGAGTGGAAGAACTTTCTACATGAAGTTAACCAGAATTTAATATAGTTTAACTATTATTTTTTTCAATATGTTTATTGTAATAAATAAATAGTTATTTGAAAATATAAATAAACTGCACATTTTCATATTTAAAAGAAAAGTTTGCTAGCTAAATGTCGCATGATCGTCAGCACTACTAGTCTTGATGATGCGATATCTAGCGATACGACTAACAAAAATGCGAAATATCGCAAGATATTCCATCGTGAAGACAAGACCTCTCGCGAAAAAAACCAAGTATATTGTAACAACCAACACGCGCTGCGTAGGGAAACGCGCGCGGTTAGCGGCCCGGTTCTAGCTCAGTCGGTCCTACTCCCTTACTCATATGATTCAGTGATGGAAGGCATTGTAAGCGAAAGCATGCATGGGCATTCAAAACAAACAATTTGGTTACTGGTAAAAGACAATGTTTATTCCTGGACAGGGCTGTACCAGGGAAGTTACATCGATGAAAAGAAAATGGTGAATAAAATAAAATAAAGATTAGAAATTAAGAAGAACTTATAACTAAAGAAGAGTGGTACAAAAATTATTCTATAGCTACAATTACAAATTTGTCCCTGAGGACCTTTCTGTGCCTCAGCGCGGCACCGCTCTAACAATAGTCTCTAAGGGCTTATTGACCCTGATTACGTTGCCTGGAAACCCTCCGTGAAAAATGTGCTCAGTAGTCCCTTGCGAGCACGAGGCAGCAAGGTGGGCGGCCGGGATGCCCTTTCCAGTACGCGGCCGGGGCACGCCTTCAACAAAGGTGGGCGGGGCTGGCGGCGGTTGCGGCGGTCACTAGTTTACCTATGTGCGACACGATGCGCCGACTTTGCTCCAAGCGTCCGTGGCGGCTAGCACAAATGTGTCCCTGGCAATTGTAACGGGCGGAGCCTCACTCGTCCCGCTGGAGTCTCCCACGCCGCTGCTCGCAGAGTTCTGCGAGCAAGCTGCGGCGGTAGCGCCCGGAAACGTGAGGCCACTTGCTTGGGCCCTCTCGGCGGCGCTAAAATACGTCCGGTGGAGCCCTCACAGTTAGCTGCCACGGCGGTTCCGCGCAGCGCCCGCGGAGCTTTCGGGCCCAGCGCCCGCGTGAGCGGCCGTGTGTGCCCTCCGGCGATCTCCTCCGGCAGCTAGACGACTCACAGTCCCAAGGCCCATAGTTCAAACTGGTTCTATGGTGGCGGTTAGGAGGAGGAAGCAGCGGAGATGCCGGCCGCCGGTGGTGTCCGCACACCGCGCCGGCGCTACGGTTTCGGCCGCCAATCGGGCGTAGGGTCGAGACCGGGGCGCTGCTGCAAAGGTTTCGCCAAGCCATAGGTGCAAAACTTCGTATGCAGGCGGTGAAAAGGAGACGCTTCTGCGAGAGAGATAGGTCGGGGAGCCAAGCGAGGGGACGTAGGGGAGGTTCTCGCAAGAATTTTGCTGCACAAAGTCCTTGGCGTGCTCGTGCAATAAAGGCTCCGATCTAGAGGTCACGCCCAAGAACTTGCGCATGGGAACAAGGAAGATGCGCGCCCGGCAAAGCAACACCGTTTCCTCGGGGTCTGCCCCTCTACGGGTAAAGTTACCGGCCATGCAAATTTTTCAAGGTTTAGGGTCACGGCATTTCTGGTGGTATGCCAGGTGGTAGAGAAAGGCGGCGAGGCATTCATTACAGCGTATCTCAACTGCTTGCCTGCTGTTCGCCGATTTCGCGTCATACGGCAGTCGTCCGCGAATATCAGGAGCCGCACGGTGATTCCCGTTCTCCTTTCTGCTGAGAGGCGCATCATTGACGTATAAGTTCAAAAGGAGGGTTTGGGGAGCACGCCCGCCTGTTGGAACTCTCCGCCTGGCGCGTCTTAGGGAGCGATTATACCGCCGTTTACCTCGCACTCTGAACCGTTCTCTCTGTGAGAAACTACCGTCAGCCTGGTGTGCAGTCGCTTATCCCTGACACGATGAGAACAAGGAGTGCCACCTCATGCCACACCGTGTCGAAGGCCGACCGCATGTCCTAGGAAGACGGTCCAGCAGTTAGCCGCCTCTCGAGAAGAGAGGGCCGATCTCAGTGCAATGAGGCGCGTCAGCTGCCGCGAAGGCCTATGGCCCCGCCTCTTGAACTCGAATTGTTGGTCTCGCGAGGAGACCTAGACGCGTATTTCCTCGATGCAAGCGCACCAGTATGTAGGCGTTCTAGAGTATTTCTAGGAGCGAGAGTAGACTAAATGGGTCTATAACTACTCGGCAAGCGAAGCGGCTTTACGCACTTGGGTATTAAGCAGATGTTTCGCTGTTTTCCACGGACGTTTGTGGGCGGATATAATTCCTTGTGCTAGGCAGGCATTGAAAAGTGCCAGGAGAAATTCAACCCCTTTGTCAACCAACGGATCTCAAGTGGGCGAACGGTATGCCGTCAGGGCAGCACAGATTTTTTTGGGTTGCGACTGCGGAGCACTGCCGCGGACTCTCGTCCGTTCAAGCGACGTGGCTGATGTAATTCAGTGTGGACTGCCAGAGGCACAATCGGCGTTCTGGCAGTCACGTGGGCATCGCGGTCTCGGCGTCGTTGGGTCAGAACTACCGCTCGAGCGAGTCAGCAAAGACTTCACTTTTTGCAGCGTCGTCCCACAACAATACAGCCGGTGCCCTGAAGAGGTTGACCAGGGAGCCTTGGGAATTCGGTTGGTTTGAATGGGTGTTTA